TGTGCAGTGTTCAAGCAATGAAAAAAAATGATCGGGTTGTGAATTACACCGTAATCTATGGCGAGACTGAGGTGAACTCGTCGCAAGTTTAGCAAAACCACCCAATCGCTCTTCTGGGAGCACTAATTAGCTGTCAGCATAATCCAAATCCCATAAGTCTTTTGTGCTAATTTCCCCTCCATTAAGTTTTGCGGTCAAAACCCAATTCAATTTCTCCGACTTTTTAAAATTTTCTCCATTGCTGCTTTTTTTCTGAAATTATTAAAAGAAGAAAATAAAAACAGATTGAAGTGATTGGTAGTTTGCACCAATCTGCTAACTGAATATCTATGCAGAGATGATATAAACTCGTGGTACAGTTGAAATGCAAGAAAGCGATGGACAACCAATTTATGAGCGCAGCAAAGATGCATCAGATACTTCCGTTGCGTACTTCTCTAACTGCGAGTGCGAAGAAACCGTCAGGGCAGCACTCACATTGCCGTGGGGCTATACTAAAGCTTGACTCTCAAGCGATGAACACCTGCGAAGTTAATAAACAACGGTCAAATTGATCTGAGTTCATAGGCAGGAAGAAGTGCCATATGCAAGAAGTGTCATCGTGAATGGATTCGTTCATGATTTTGAATGAAATGCATCAGATCAGCTGATTCAGACTCGTAATCTTCAAAGCGACCGATAAACTACATTCATTTCTATCGAAAACCAACAGATTACTTCTCTATTCGAAGAGATGTTACCATTAAAAAGTCAGTGCAACTACTTATTGTTGTCATTTGAAATAAGTTCTCAGAGCCATCAACAATGTGCCGTTGAATGTCGATGATGGATGGTATTGTTGCTTTTTGAACTACCCTACCCATTCCTTTTGTGTTCATCTCTGTAGACTTTTCAAGTAGGCACCAATAAACTGCATTAATCTGACTCATTTGTTTATCATGTTCAGCAAATCATCACTTACCACTCCACAGTCCAACTGAACTGAGTAACGGATTCTGTTATAATCAACAAACGAATCAATCAAAATATTTTTATACTTTTTCTCGAACGATTTGCTTGCAGTTTAATTTTGACTCATCACTATCACCATCATTATACTATTAATGTAAATATGATATTAATGTTTATATACACTGAAATGTAAATAAATCATTTCAGATCATCCATGCATTGTCTAAATAAAAATTAATATTGAACAGTATCAAGGAAGACTAAAACAAATGAATTAGTCATCAAACTCACCGGTCAATGCAATTTTATTATACTGTAAACATTGCACTTTTCGAATTCCCAAAATATGCAGTGAAAGGATCAGATCAAAAGATAAATGTATGAGAAAGGCGACATCTTTGTTGCATTCTCTTTGTTGCATGTTTATGAAAAGATACATACCCGGCTAAAATGCATGCCTACAGTCAAAACAAAGACATTATCTGAAAGCTAAAAGCATCAGCAGATGACCTTATCTACGAATACCATCTTGCAGAAGCATGGGAAAGATCGAACAATGGATTGGCTTAAAAAGCAAGAAGAAGAAGACCGGAGGCACAGAGATAGACGAAGTTCATATCTACAAGTGTGTCGACCCTTGGATCGGTCGTACCTATATTGAAGTCGTGCTAATCAAACTGAATTGTGAAAAGCCATCGATTGGCAACTGCCTTGGTTGTTGAATTGTTAATTATTATTAATTATCCTTCGCTAATTAATTGAAAGTATTCTTAACGTGGAAAAAGCCATTGATTGGCGACTGCCTTGGTTGATCAAATTATTATTGGAAATTCTTATTGAAACTATCATCAATCGTCTCCTTACTCTAAGAGCCGCTGATCGGCCGCTTCCTTGGTTTCATAATTGTAATTGATAACTCAATAATATCTATAAATTGTATTCGAATACTACTGTCGATCCACCACATCCACCTCAACAAAACATCAACTATACAATTAATTAAAGTAACCAAAATACTTTGTGATGTGTTTTTAATGCTTCAATAAAGTCGACATCACAAATTCATATATTGAAATATCATTTTGACTGCCAATGCCCTCCACAAAAAAGCACATCTAAAATTGTGTCACTCAGTCGGATTGATCAGCAATTTGAAATCCATGCTGAAGGATACCAATCAGGAATTCGAACTGAGTGCATGTGAAGGGAATTCCAAATTATGTTATGATCCGCCTGTAAAATTGATCTCTTATCCCTCATTCATACCGTTCAAACTATAATCAAACGACTGTTTGGTGAACACTGATTATGGAAGTACTGTGTAATGTGCGCTTCTATCAAAAGTAGAAATCTGAATTCAAAGTTTGCAAAAATTTTAGCATTTCTTCTGAAATGACTCACACATATTTTTGCGTATGAGCTGAAATGATAACGAAACAATGCTGTCTGCGGTTGTTTGCTTGAAACAGTAAGAAATTTTACGAAAGATGTCATTCTTGTTGAGTACGTCTG